TTTAGTATCCTGATCAAACACTTTTGGTAAACACTCAATCATTATGTCTGTTTAATTGCAATGTATTTTTCATTTTCAAAAGAAGATGTTTAGTACACTAACAATGGAAAAATCTACTTTAGGAATTATGCTCTAATCTTTTTTTTCTTCTGTGAATTGAAAGGCGAGGAGAGGGGAACAATGCAACTACTCCCTTTTCCCTTTATCATAAACGGCTCCACACACCTTCTATGGAATGTTCATCGAAGGAGCATTGGGCTATTGTTTTCATTCAAACGTTCTACACATCGGTTGATTAACATGATATAATATGATATTAGAAGAGCAAGCAAAACATTGTTCGGGGGTTGAGCCACGCCAACAGAAAGCTCCTTCTCCACAGAGTAGACAAAGAAACCTAATCATCCAACTTGGACATAACAAATGTACAAGAATAGTACATGGATGTTAATTGCGTAAATTATTAATTTACTTACACTTTGATGTATTAGTTAACAAAACTAATTGGCCCATGAAATTGTTCTTCTGATTTTTCATTTGGTAGTCAGCTATAATGGGAAATAAATTATTTTTATCAAGTGATAAACAATCGTAAAAGAAAATTCTTAAGGCCATGTCTGTTTTCTCGAGTAAAAAGAGTAAAATGGGTAAAATGGAGTTCTGTGATTTGAGCCACATCACATTAAACTGTAAAGGTCTATTTACCTCCTTACATTTGTTGGACAAACATAACTTTATTTTCCCCACACTCTATCTAATATTAATCCATTTAAGACGATATATTGTAACATTAAAGTAATATGAATGTAATTTGACATGGTAGTCAATAAAGCTGAATTCACCTCAGTATTCCATTTATCAGAAAATGTATCATTAATTTATCAAATTAATTATAATAAGAAAAAGTCTTAATTATACTTATATGTTACTTTACATGAATTCTTTTAGTAATTTTGCCAATCGAAAAAGCAATATTAGTAAAACAAATAATAATTTGCAATTCGGTGTTACACTGGGTCTAGTCCCCAATGAGATGGGAGAGCAGCAGCAAGCCAAACACACTCGCGGTTGGATCAAGTGGTAAAACATAATTTAAAAGATATTTTCAACAGGAAATAGTATTCAATTTATCTAAAATCCTAATTGTAAAGGATGATAATGTGTTTTTTAAGAAATATCTGTTAATTATACATATCGCATTGCATTAAGATTAATGAATTTGAAAAGGCTAGGGGAAAAAACCAAGAAACCTCACGCTACCTGTCAAGGCTGTAGCAATTATTATTTGGGAAAACAAGTGATTTGCATAATAAATCAAATAGGATAATTAAATTAGATATTCTATCACCCTAGAACAGACTAAATAAACAAGTACTATATCATCCTTTAAAAGTAATACATACTCCTGACTTTTTTTTTTTTGTCTTATCCTACTCTAACTCTCAACTCACTCTGCGTTCTTGCAGAGCATGAGAGTCGAACCCGCAATATGTGTGCTCTTTAGGGAAAAAAACATAAAGAAATTAGAAACCATGCAGCACAAAGGAATTTTTTAATTTGGGTGAAAAGTGTGTCTAGTCTAGCAAAAAAAAATGGAAAAAGAAAAAAAAATTTTGGATGAGCCCCATCATTTGCCTACGTGCTAGGAAGCTGATGAAGCACTATGCTCGGAAAATGAAATATCTTGAGCTGGATGGATTTTTGCTTTTGACTTTTTCATGATCTAAATTTTACAACGCATAAGTTTCGACATTAAAATTTGACAGTAAAATTTAACAGAAACTTACGCAGGGTAAATTTATTACAGGTGTATGTAAAAAAAAATAGTTTGGGATAAATTTATTATTAGTGTATTAATTTAAGATTTTTCGTGATATAAACCCTAAAGATTTATACGCAAACACGTATCTTTCATGCTTTTTTGAGGTTTGAATTATTAAACCGGCCGAAAAAGCCCAATGGAGTGCTTCATATGGCAAATGCCCAACTGAAGCCCCAAAAGTATCGACGTCTCTTTGCTCTCTCTGTTCTGACATTAGCCCAACCCAAATGCATGCATGGTTCCCCTCCCGAAACCGACCACCAGCACCATCTTCCCGGCAAAGATCCTCAACTGCAATTCAAATTTCGTCTCCATAAAGCACAAGCTGATCGCATTCTTGAACCTCTCTTCTTCCGCCAAGCACATCGCTCAGATCCACGCCCAAATACTGGCCTCTGGCCTCCTCGGCGACGCCTTTCTCGCCCGCGAACTCGTCCGGCTCTGCTCTCTGCCTCCCTCCACCAAATGCCTGAGCCACGCTCGGCTACTGGTCGAGCACGCGGAGATCTCGGCGCCCTCTTCGTGGAACATCCTGATCAGGGGTTTCGCGTCGAGTGATTCGTCGAGGGATGCGTTGCGGGTCTATCTTGGAATGCGGCGTGGTGGGATTAGTCCCAACGAGCACACTTTCCCTTTCGTCTTGAAGTCGTGCGCGGCTCTCGCGGTGCTGCGCCAGGGCAGGCAAGTTCATGGCGAGGTTTGTAAGTTTGGTGTGGAGAGTAACGTTTATGTTCAGAATGCTTTGATTAGCTTTTACGGATCCTGCAAGAAGATCTCGAACGCATGTAAGGTGTTTGATGGAATGTCTATGAGAACAGTCGTTTCTTGGAATGCTATTCTGACTGCCTGCATCGAGAATTCGCGTTTGGCTGATGGGATTCGATATTTTGTGGAGATGAGGAACTGCGGATTTGAGCCGGATGAGACCACAATGGTGGTCGTGCTCTCTGCTTGTGTCGAGCTGGGGAACTTGAGCTTGGGCAAATGGGTCCATTCCCAAGTGATTGAAAGAGGCATGGTTTTGAACTGCCAGTTGGGTACTGCCCTTGTTGACATGTATGCAAAGTGCGGCACTGTTTGGTGCGCTAGTTTCGTTTTTGACCGAATGGGAGAGAGAAATGTGTGGACTTGGAGTGCAATGATCCTGGGGCTAGCCCAACATGGCTTTGCTAATGAAGCCCTTCGGCTCTTTTCGAACATGATGGAGAGTACATCTGTACGCCCAAACTATGTGACCTTCCTTGGAGTTCTCTGTGCTTGTAGCCATGCGGGACTGGTGGATGAGGGATATAAGTACTTCCGCGAAATGCAGTATGTTCATGGGATTAAACCAATGATGGTACATTATGGTGCTATGGCAGATATTCTGGGTCGTGCTGGGCGTCTCGGAGAGGCTTATTCTTTTATAACAAGGATGCCAATTGAGGCTGACTCAGTAGTATGGAGGACATTGCTCAGTGCAAGCAGCATTCACGACGCTGAGGACAAAAGTGGGCTGGGCAGTGAAGTTCAGAAGAGGCTGCTTGAATTGGAGCCGAGAAGGGGCGGGAATTTCATTATGGTTGCAAACATGTATGCTGAGGCTGGGATGTGGGAAAAAGCGGCAAAAACAAGGAGAGACATGAAGAACAAAGGGGTAAAGAAGATAGCTGGGGAGAGTTGTGTCGAGTTAGGCGGCTCTGTTTATAAGTTCTATTCTGGGAATGATTCTCGGGATGGTTATGAAGATACTTTTCATATGCTTGATGATCTAAGCCTGCACATGAAAATGGTCAATGAATGGTAACTTTAGTTGCCTTCTCAGCTAGCCAATGGAAGTCATCTATAAACTCTATTTCCATTGTCCTGTTCTCTTCTAATTGATTTACTTTTAGTTATTCCTTTCGTTCTTCGCGGCTTTGCTAATTTGAAATCAAACCTTTGGGGTCCCCCGTGATTTTTGCAAAGTTGGTTTTGGATTGTTCATAAAAATTTTCCTGGGTAATGACTGCAAACTTGAACTTCTACCCGTTTTGCAATCCAAGTACCTAAACCTTTTTTTTTTCAATCGAATACTTTACCCACCCATCGGTGGCCGCGTTGGTTTGCGCTCAGTTCTTTTCATGAGAAGTCCTGGGTTCAAACTCGCCCATCGGTGATTTAAGTGGGGGGTCGTGGCGGTGGGATGCTGCGCTAGCCCCCCTCGAGGACTAGTCGAGCATCACCGCTGGTTTGAGCCCTAGCTCGCCGGCCGCGCGGACACCTCGATTATCAAAAAAAAAAAAACTTTTCAAATGGTGTTCAATATTAGGTCTCCGTTAACTTGAACTTCATGTCAAATGAATTTTAAAGACACGTCAAAATTATGTCGTGGACAGCTACATCATTTTATTTCTCAAGTCAACACATTGTATTTCTATCTTCCTTTTCTTTCTTTCCCAGTTTTCTTCGCTTTACTTTTCCTTATTTTCTCCACTTCTTCTTCCTTGGTAGAGCGGTTACCATCGTCCTCTCTATCCATTGCCGCCGTCACCATGGTCCACATTTCAACAGCCAAAGTATATGAATCTCAGTTAGATCACACGACGAATCCGGATCACATGACCTCTGGGCCATGGCACAACCTGCGACCCGACAGATCTGGAGGTCGCGTGACTACTCGGTAGTCCTGGCTGGTGGTTATAGGCGTTGGTGGTTGGCGGGTCATTGGTGGTGCGGTCTTTATGACAAAACCATGGCTCCTTCCTTAAACCCAAGAACTCCAAACCTTAATGGGAATATAGAGAACGGAGGATTTGGGAGTGTAGAGAGACTCAGCAAAAACACTGCGTGGGATTGTTGCGGAAGGGAGGGAGGGAGGGAGGATAAATGATTTTTTTTTTAAAAAGTAAAATGATTTGGCAAACACGTGGACACACGATGCGATCATATTGGATAGTCATTGAATGGCGTTATCGTACCAACATTTTCCGTCTATGAATTCAATGGAGAGGTCACATCAAGCGCGATTCTAAAAGTTAAGGTATTCGATTGAATAAAGAAATAGTTTAGACTTTGATCGTACAAGGAGCTTAAATAAGGTGTCGGGGCGTCATCATTTCTTGTAAAACTAATTGAAGCATATGGAGAGCCCTTTTCAGACAAAGGGACACAGGCAAACTGCAACTTTAAAGTGAAATAAGCCACTGAGTACTACTAGTACCACAACAATACACAACCCTTCATTCGATATGAGTAGCCGAAAGGATAAGCACAGGCATATATAAATAGAACTGGATGGTTCAGCAATGGCCAAAGATGCTGCAGGCTCATGAGAGTCTTCATCAACAATGAGGGGTTCATCATTTTCGCCCACGCCTGCAGACCCACTCTAAAAGAAAGATGTAAGATACGCCAGAGGGCAAGCAGCGCTCGATGAATGGCATATAGTGGCTGATTTCTCCATGAAGAAAATCACCGAATGTACAGATGGAGTATTCATAAGATTTTCGTTCCCACTGACTTTCTGCATTCCCTATCGTCTGTATTCTAAGTCCTCCTAACAACTTCTATTAATTAAACTATTAAAACAGTAACATTGGCATGCCTTGAAGATAGCAGTGCGGAATGAATTTATAAATGGCCAACAATCTGTTGAAGGGATGTGTAAGTGCCGAATACCACGACGGCAACGCCCATCAATATGATTGCGCCTATTGTGACTGTTTCACATCCTAAGGTCCTGTAAGTGCCTGTAATCTTCAAGTAGCATATGCAAGGTAGTATGATAGATGCGGTGATACTGAGGAAAGCTCCAACCAGTGACATCAGATACGCGAAGAAAGGGACGGCCAAGGCCACAACAACGGTGCTGATCACCAAGAGGGTACTGATCAAAAGACTGAAAGGCCTCTTGTTGTAGTAGCAAGGAAAGCACTGCTTGGTAGCGTTGACGATTGGTGTCACCATCAAAGCATATTTGCTTATAGGGTTCACCAAGGTTGTGTAAATGGCCACGCTTGAGCTCAGTTTTCCTAGAGGCAGGTTTAATGTTATTTGCGATTGTACCTTGTCTCCAAACATCAGGTACCCCATTACAGCCATTGATGCATAACCGATGGTACAGAGGATAAAGCACAATATAAGAACCTGCAACAAAAATTATAAGTGATGAGTTTCACTAAAAAGCCCAAAACCTTTCGCTCAGTAGCTTCCGTTTCTTAAGAGCCGAGTTTGACAAAAAGGAAAACCGGAAACCATGCTGTTACTTACATTAGAGAACTGATGTTTCTTCCTCATAGAGGTATAAAGCGTGGGAAAAACTGGATGGGCGCAATAACAGAAACCATATAAGCTAACGGCAGTAGGAACTCCACTCCAATTTATCAGCGTTCCTGTTTGATGAAATCCAACTCCATCGAACGCAGTCCATAGAATCGAGACAAGGATGATGCCAGAAGCTAAGACCCCACTTGCAGATATATAAGAAAGCAAACTCAGATTGTCCAACCAAACCGAGGGCAAAATTATTAGCGCGACAATCAGCACCAAGCTCTGTTTTCCGCTGATGAACCCTCCAATGTTGAATCCCATGTCCGGGAATAAGTTATGCAGATTATCTCCCTCTAGAATCAGAAATCCGGTAGCAACCAAGAATAGCTCTATGTACATGAAAACTGATACCAGGACACGCCCCTTGTTACCAAATGCGAGCTCTCCGATGTCAGGGTAAGTTCTAATACATGAGTGGACATCCATGCATCTCTGAATAAGCAGGCCCGAGTAAAAGGCTGCTATGGCTATAGCAAAGAGAAGTATTAAACTCAACCAACCTCCGGATGCAAGTGCATATGGTGTTGACAAAATTCCCACTCCTGTGTAACGAAGTCACAACTTTTTAGCATAAAAGAGATTCTCCATAAACTACATAGACCACACTAACATCATGAAAGTTAATTCATTAGCTGAGACATTTCGACATAGAGTTGACTTTGAAATCTTCAAATTATTTAAGGTCAAGATGCTCATTGAGATCACCAAGACTTCATCTTTCTAGGTTACTCTTTGAAATTTAAAGCATGACTGATGATTAGTTACCAGAAACACGAAAGCTGAACAGTGAACACCACTTACACCATGGTTCCACACAAAAGAATGTGCGCTAATCATCAACATTACTAGTCAACCAGCTCTACCAATATAGCGCGTACAGCAACAGTCTACAGTGTTCTAAGGTGTGGTCAATTAGAGAGGGGAAAACAATTAGAGACCTGACAAAGCGTTGAGGCCATTGAAACAGGTTTTGAAGAAAGAAGTGTTGCCTTCACAGGGATTTTCACACTTCGAGTCTCCTTCCTCGAGTTTGCGCGCTAATCCTTGTTGCTTCTCATTATACAAGAGAGGCTCATTCAAGTATGACCCATCACTTGAATTCGCCTCCATAGTGAGAGAGAGAGAGAGAGAGAGAGAGAGAGAGAGAGAGAGATGAAGGTGGTGGTATGAATAACAAAGGTGATTCCTAGGGAAGACTTGGAAACCCTTATCAAGAAACAAGAACTTGGAGATGGCCTTCAAACTCAAAACCCTGGTTGCTCTTTTAATAGCAATTGAATGCCCTCTTTTTCAACACACATTTTAAAGGTCAAACATATTTTAAATTTCGTCTTTTTTTTTTTCTTCCATTACTTGGAATTGCCAACGTTGGGTTGTGTTTTTCACGTGACCTTCGTTGTTTCTTCTCTCCGCCAATGAGACGTGTCCGGTTGACCTTCGTTGTTTCTTCTCTCCACCAATAAGACGTGTTCGGTTGACTCATGTGTTTTGACTTGTCCTTCTGCAGCTAGTTTGGACTATTGCCATTATCATGAGTTTTCAAGATTGATTCTTAACCTAGTAACGTTATTTTGCCAAGTATCGACAAAAAAATAAAAAATTAAACACCATATTTGCCAAGCACGACGTAGCTCAGTTGCTTTAATGGGAAAAACATTGTTCCTACCTCATCTTGTGATAAAAAATTTGAATCTTGATCTCTTACCTTTCAAAGAAGAAAGATGTTGCTAGCCTATTCACGTTATAATTTTTGCGTCTTTAAGGGTTCTTGGATTGAAACTCGACATCTATGTACCTAAACATTTCGTGCGATAAGCATCATTCACACGTTACATGCCTCATAATAGGTCTTAATCCCAGAAAAAGACATGTCGATGTGGTATTGCCTCATCAACATGAATAATGCAATATAGGATCTGAAAGTGCATGTTTCTCTTGGTTCATGACCGTCCGTATTACCTTAACCCTATATCTACCACAATATAATTTATCGAAAATTTTGATTAATGAGGGTGCGTAAAAAGACTAGTTGTCGTTTCCCTAGATCAATTGCAATTAATAACTAATAGTGAAAATTGTCTTGGGTTTTTTCTTAAAAGATTGGGTCTCGACAGTCCATTATGTGGGGTTTTTTTATTCATTATTTGATGGCCAACGTCAAATCTGAAAAGTTACTATCTCAATAATGAAAGTTATCACTACTAAAGTTACTATATTTATAAGAGAAAATTTCAAACATATTGAGACAATCACTATCATAGAATGTTATGTCGTGCTTCTTAGCACAAGATTATAGACCAATAGACAAAGTCTACTAATTGGATATGAGTAAAGAAGTGTTATCTGTATTCACTTGCTAAAAGCACAAGTAGCGGTTAATACCCGCAATCTTCAAATAATCTCATTAATGAGGAGGTCTCATAGTTCAGTTAAGACACAAATCTGAATTAGGATAAGTAGCCTAAATTCGAAACGATTTGCACTTGATAGTGCAAGGGATCAAACCTACGCCTTTCATCTAATCCACATACATACAACAAGGTCGTTTTTAAACTATACTAAGCTAACTCTATGGGATTGCCTTCAAAATGTTTTTTTTTTTTTGGTAAGGGCCTTCGAAATGTTTATATATATATATATAAAAGAACAAACCAAAGTGGAGCATGAAAAGTGAATAGTGAAGGGTAGCTAGATGGGTATCGCTAGAAGTTTAAAGAGTACGTAAAAATTGATGTACTGTTCAATGGAGAGGAAGGGACTGGAGTGGTCCTAGGTCCTCCCACGAGACCGTATGACATGAAAACGAGAATTCATGCATAAGAAGCCAAAATACATGAGAACAAGAAAACAGATGGCAACAAACTCGTTGTCGTTTAAATTGTGAATTCTGTGTTCCCTCCACTTCACGGGGGAAAATTCGTCCACAACCCCAAACCCTGAGGTTAGATTCTGGCATCTTCATTTTGATTCGTCACCCTTTTCTGTTGGGTTTCTCTGTGTTCGCTAGATAAATTCAAAATCACCACGTCATCGATAGGTTACCATTACAATTTTTTTATTTCTATTGTTGTGCTAAGGTCCTGAGGATCGATAGGCATCTCTCTCTCTCTCTCTCTCAGAGTGAGCGACAAATGCAGCATTTTGGACTGTAGCTGCGGTTCTCCGTTAGCATTTTGCGTATCGAAATTCCAGCGAATTCCGCGTTTCAGGATTGATTTTGGTTTGTTTTCTTCTGAGGATAATGACACCCTGTCAAGTCAGTCCTCCAGGGCCTCAGATTAATTCATTTTGCCCATTTTGTCTTGTCATCTCATCTCCTGAATATTCAACGGAGTTAGGCCTCCATTTTTGAAAGTCTCGTTCTTCATTATCAATGCAACAAATAGATATAGAAGTAAAAAATTCCATTAAGTCCCCCAAAATATTTTGTTGACACTTAAATTTTTCGTTAAGGGGTCTCTCACATTTCATGGGAGGGTCACGACAAGAGTCAGTGATTTATATTTTGTAATTTTCTTCTAAATCCACGGTACTTGATACTTGATGACAAGTTTTGATTGACGAGCCTCTTGTCTTTATGATGGACCTAAAACTTCAACTTCTAGGAGTAAGTATAAAGAAAAGTTCTCAATTTCATGATCAGGTCTACTGAATTCTTAGTTTTAAAATAGCTACCTCCTTCTGTCTTCACGAAAGATGACCTTAATTTCACATGGGCCACTTATCAAATTTTGCATATTGTTTTTAATCTGATTATAAGCTCAAGTTTAAGGATCGATTTATCTTTTCTCTCATGTTAGAAGTTGCACAAAACTAACAAGAACTCTTGACAACATCAAAAGACAAGACATGTCCGAGTAGATGGTACACGTGTGCGACAAAAAAACCCCCACGACTCTCTCTGAACATGTGTGCGATAACCATCAGAAGATTGTGTAATAGCAAATACGATCTGCAGATAAGGGCATTTTAAATCGTATGGAACAGTTATATTAAGATTGAAGAGATCATACTGATAGGTATCAATCAGCGGCGTCATCCAATGTAGTTAGGCAAAGAGAGAGTTTAAAGAGCAAGAAGCCAAATCGGTTCAATACATTTAGTGCGCACTACCTAATATAAAGCCAAAGTATCTAGGCGACAAAAGTTAGTGGACTAACGTTTGTCAAAGTTGGAAACTAGGTTTTGTGGCTCCGATTCTTCGTTCAAATGATTTTCTCAAAGAAAATAGATAAAGACAAGACATCAGCCAAAAGAAAGGCAAGGGAGGGACAACTTCCTTCCCCAATACGACGTGCGTTCTGTGAGATCCTGAGAACCGGGCAACATCTAACACATCATTCTTTTGACAATTAGCAAACAAGACCATGAAAAGGGAAGTTCCGAAGGAGAAAAAAATACCTTAAAAAGAATGACCGGTTTTTCTTGGCTTTCATTTGGGACATTCAAGGAAAGTTCAATGACGATATATTGTATAGGACGGAATCTCTTATGTTTAATGAATTCTTTACTCTAGAGATGATGGGAATGTGTGTTTTGAAAAGGAAAAATGGCTAGAATCATACGAAAAAAGAAATTGTTTTTCTTGATTATCTAGAACTTAATTACTTCGACTAGGAAAGCTCTGCATGAGGGGACTTGGAATTCTCATGATGGATACTGAGAACAGTCATTCTCTTGCGGATAATCTATAGTTTGCCAGATTAGACAAAAAGATATTGAAAGTAGTACGAAATGCAATTGATAGGAGAAAGAGATTATGTGACTAATGCTTCCTCTCTCTTTTTTCGTTACATATATCACTGTGTGATTTTCCAAAGTGAGGGGTGTATTTCAGTAAAGTTAGAGTAGACTGGTGATGCAACTCAACTGCATCCTCCATTACTTGATTGTCTATGAGTTCATTGTTTAGAAGAGTCCATTTACCCTCTAATGTTGCATTTGATAGCCCGGATTTAAGTCTGGATATAATGACAAATTATCCTATCCGGTGTTTGGTGACGTTCTCTAGATCGAATTAACCCGGATACATCCGGATAAAAATGTTGGATAAGAAATCCGGCCTAAGAGGTGGGATAAACCTAGATTGGATATAAAATTTGAAAAATAACAAAAAAATTCATATTTTTATCTTTTAACAGAGTGATAAAGTGATGCATTGGATATTGTTTCGCCGGCACCACCTACTGAGGACCACCACCAAAATTACCAATCATCGTCACTTCCGACCATCGACAATCACCGTCGCCTCCGATCACGCCGGTCATCACTACCGGCTAGCGATCATGTACTAACGAGTGATGGTGAAAATGGGCCTAAAGACGATCGTCGTGCCAGGCCCACATAGATCATCATCCTTTCTACCCCAGTCGCATATGTCCTTCAGGTCAAGCCCAACCTTTCACGCATGACTCACGAGGTGGCTGTACATGATATGATATATTTACAATCCAGGGATACATTAGGTTGTACTAAACACATAAGATATGATACATTTACAATTCAGGGATATGTGGAGGATTTCAAAACCCCCATTTATCCTATCCTATCACATCTCAATACGAATATGACCAAACGTAGCCTACGTGGATAGGATCTCAATTAACCGTGAGATTTAAGGGAATCGGTTCATATCAAGATAAGACACGAATCTCTCTTGGGACCCCAGCTCCCCTATTATTCAAATTCCAATCGATAGTTTAGAAAAAGAAAATCTTCACGTGTAGATGGAAAGCAGTAGAAAAATATCATCACATGGAAATGTTTTCAGAACTCTTCTTGACCTTTAAGCTTAGCAATCGAAGAATAACCCATAAAAGAAAAAAGGTTTTACATGTCAGATAATGTGTAAGAAAAAAGGTTTTTTTTTTAAATTCTTTTTGTAGCAAAAAAGACGCGCACAGATATGAGTGCAAAAATTAAAAAAAAAATGGACGAAAGATCAATTTCGTCTGAATGGTTTTCATTTATTAAAGGGATTCGAATAATGATAGGATTTATAAATATTGATTATACATTTGGGATTTACGTGACACTTGAGGTTTATTATGAGATTTATGTAAAATATTTTTAATTATTATTATTAATCTTGTAATACACATAGTCTTTGTCTGGAATCTTCAATATAGTGTTTGCAAGGTTTATAAAACTATTCCTTGTGACT